AGGGTATTTTGGTTTGTTAGCTGTGAAAATAGTCAAACATTTTGACCCAGTTATTCCATTTGTAAAAAATGCTGCCTTAGGGGCCTGGAGAGATGGCTCAGCAGTTAAGAACAGTTCTTGCAGAAGACCCAGGTTTGAATCCCAGCACCCACATGGCCGCTAACAACTGTCCGTAACTCCAGACCCAGGGGATCTGACGGCCTCTTCTGACCTCCAAAGGCTTTGCACGACAGGGGTGCACTTACCTACATGCAGGCAATACACACATATGCATTAAAAAAAAAAGTTAAAAAAATGCTGCCTTAGGAAGAAAAAAAAAATCAAAGATGCAAACCAAAGGATATTCATTCTAATTATATATGTAACAGCAAAATTTTCAAATAAAAATATTGCAAAGTTAAGGACTGATTATTAAGCATCCATTAAAATAATGTCTTTAAGGCTGGGTATGGTGACTCAAGACTTTCATCTGGGCATTCAGGAAGCAGAGGCAGGTGGATCTCTGTGAGATTGAGGCCAGCCTGGTCTATATAGTGAGTTCCAGGCCAGCCAGGGCTTTATAGTGAGACTTTTTCTAAAAAAGAACCAACCAAACAAACAAAAAAAGTCTTTACAGAACATAGAATAACACCAGAAATTGACAAATATACAAAATTCATAAACATGAAATACTAGATTGTATATAATACACTATAACATGGTTTTAAAATGTATTTATATGGCTTAGCCAGTGAAGTGCTTGCTCTGCAAGTGTCAGGACTGGAGTTCGGATTCCCAGAACCTACTTAAACGCTATGCAGATATGGTGGCTTATTTGTAATCTCAGCAAGAAAGAGGTGGAAACAGGAAATCCTCAGAGCAATCAGTCTGGTTAGCCAGACTAGCCAAAATGTTAAGGTCTGGGTTCAGTGAGAGACTGTGTTTCAACATAGAAAGGTGGAGAGTGATTAGAAGAAGACATCCATGTCCACTTCAGACCTCTATACACATGTGCACATATGTGCATGTGCACCTCACATACACATGCTCCCCCATACATATGAGCCTGCAGAAAACTACACACACATCATACACATACACACACACACACACACACACACACACACACACACACACACAGGAACAAATGGTAAAAGGAAATTGAATTAAAAGAAAAAAATCTCAATTTTCTTTATACTTTTTTCAATAAGCATATAGTTCCTTTTTAAACCAGAGGACAAAACAAAACAAAGCTCTTTATGTATTTTATTTTCATAATTCTTGAGGTATATGACATTCAAATAAATAAAAATTAATTTGTTCAAAACGGACATTGATGAACTGGAAAATATTATAGAAAGAAAATTTTGGGGTCTGGAGAGATGGCTCAGCAGTTAAGAGCACTGACTGCTCTTGCAGAGGACCCATGTTTGAATCCCAGTACCCACATGGTGGCTAACAACCCTTCATAACTCCAATTCCAGGGGATCCAACACCCTCTCTGACCTCTGAGGGCATTTCAGGACATGGGTGCACTTACAAACATGCAGGCAATACACTCACACACATAAAATAAAAAATAAAAAATAAAAAATATTAAAATAAAGAAAATTTTATAATAAAAAACCTGTATCAGGGTTTGTTTGTTTGTTTGTTTGTTTTTTTGTATTTTTTTTTTTTGTCTTTTTGAGACAGGGTCTCCCTGTAGCCCCAGCTGGCCTGGAACTCACTATGTAGATCAGGCTGGCCCTGAACTCACAGAGATCTGCCTGCCTCTGCCTCCCAAGTGTTGGGACTAAAGGTGTATACCACCATGCCTGGTTGTATCAGATTTTTACTTCAAGACGTTTTCTAAAGCTGGGACTAGTCATTACCAGTTCACTTTGGCTAAACAGTAGTTCTCAAAGCAGGATGTGTGTTGGAATTTTCTGGGTTTTTGTGCAGAGATTGCCTCTGCCCATCCCTCTTTGCAGGTCTGGGTGGAGCTCAATAATTTGCATTTCTAACAAGTTCCACTGGAACTTGTTAGTGCTCTTAACTGCTGAGCCATCTCTCCAGACCCCAGTTTAGAATGGAACAACTCAGAATAGCAGCATAGAGCCCGATGTGGGTTTTGAGGTCAGTCTGGTTCTGATTCTGGCTCTGTCCTTTGTGGGTTTGTATGTAGCAACAGTTGACATCTTTTAACCCTGCATAGCCTCTGTTTTCACTACAATAAAATGAAAATATCACACAAGTGGTAGGAGTATTGCTGAGGTTAAGTGATACAGTTACAAACTCAGCACGGTGCCTGACTAAGCTGAGGTCTTTGATGTTGGTCCCTTCCCCTTTCATTTCTTCTAAAGATACATCACACCATTTCCATAACTGAGTTTACAGGAATATGATTTAGCCACATTACAGGTCAAATAGTTTCTTTCAGTCTTAAGAGGACATACATACCCATCAGCTACTTCCAAATTTCCTGTTCATATAAAATGAGGAATAGCTGTGTAGCAGTAACTACTTTGATACAGATTAGTAGTATCCATTTTGCAGACCTACAGTCAAGAGGATTAAACAAGATACTGTGTTGTGCTTAGAGAGTAACTGACACATGGAAGTTGCACAGTAAACTGTTTCTTTCCCTCTCCTTTTAACTGGGAATTTATTCACAGTGTCTGCCAGACCTACTTCAAGTTCACCTCATCTAGAGCACTCCCATCTTTCTACTTCAGATTACTCTTTTTTTTCAGTTAATTTGAAGGCAAGTATGTTGTTTACATAAGACTGATAAGAACACCACTATATAAACTATTGTGCTGGATGTCAAAGGATGTAAGTAGAAGACTGTTCCCTGACTTTGAGGTGCTTGAGTGCAGTGGTACTATGTCTGAAAAACTGAACTGGAATACAAGGTATAGTGGACAGAATACAGAAAGTGTTGAAGTTTGCAGATTATTTTGTTCTTAAGAACTAGAGAAATTACTCAGGGCTGCAAGACAGCTCTAATTTTGTGGATGATGGGTATCTAAATCTAAGTGTCTTAAGGTCAGACCCGTGGAATGGCATATACATTTCTAAATATGTCTTCTAATCAGTCTGTTCTTCCTAAGTAGACAGCTTAGCTTTGAACTCAGAAGCCAAAATATTTGGGCTTGAATCCTGGCTTTGTCAGTTGCTATCAAGGTGCTTTGGGGCAAATTATTAATCTCTATGCTTCAGTTTTCCATCTTGAACATGAGTTTAATTATAGTACTCTATTTCATAGGGTTGCTGTGAGGATTAAATATCTAAATATATGTAAAACAAGAAAAACTGGAGTTTAATTGCTATTAATATTGGTCTCTGAAAGAAGGTTTGGCAATAAATCCAACCTTCTGGTCTTGGCTATTTATTTGTAACCTCATTCCTGAGAATTTGATCAAGCTATGCTTTTTTGAAATAAAGATGGGAATGGTTGCTATCAGTTTCCTTCTGCTAAACCGTGGTTTAGCAGGTGAGTGTCCAATACATACATGCTAGCTACCTTACTCCTAGTGGAAAAATTTGAAAGTCTGAGGTGAGACTTGAGATTTGAGCAAACGTGGTGTGTCTCAGTAAAGTGGAGAAAAGTAAAACTTGATAAATCAACAGGACCTGACAGAAGACTTAACATAGTTTTAAAAAGATGAGGGTCAATAAGCCCAACTCCAAATGAGATTCCCTACCTATTTTAAGCTCCACACCAAGCTTCTTTAGACAGAAAGCAAGCCTTTTAAGGAAGGTGCAGAGAACACAAGTGGGGTGCGTAGAGGGAATGCTTAGCAGGTGTGGCATCTCACCCTGGGGGTGGTTGCAAGAATGTGTGAACAGAGGTGGCAATACTGGCTCTCTCCGGAAAGGAAGGACGCAATCTCCACCCTGTGAGTTTAAGGACAATGGCACCACTTGAAACAAGAAGCCGCAGTAGCCACCCCCAGCCTAGTCCAGCCCAGCCTAGCTCAATATTTGGATTAGAGAAAACTAGAGCCATCTTTTTTTTCCTTCCTGGGGCACCTTTCTAGATCCTCAAGTGCTAGCAGAAATTCGGAGATGAATGTAAACCAAGAGGGCAGTCGCACTATTAGGAAGTGGGGAGAGCAGGTGGAGGTGAGAAATAAAATACGCAGAAAATCATGTATTTCTTCGGGAGGGGGTGAGAGGAGGCAAGGATTTGGGTACGACTTCAGCTTCGTCTATGAGGCAATTTAAGGATTGAGGAGGTCCTAACCGCCTTCCAAATCCTCAGCGTTTGACAGGTGCCAACCACAGAGCTCTGTACCTTGTGCGCACTCAGGCAACACTAGGTAAAACGCGCATCTTCTAGTCAGAGTCTTGAAGAAAAAGCAGCAGGTGTGTCTAGGGTTTCGTGTGGATGCGGCTGGTCCAGGACCGCTGAAAGCCCGGAATCGGGGGCAGAGCCGGTGGGTGAGAGGGCCGCTGGCCCCCAGATCCGCCCTGCACGCGCCTTTGGCAGTACCTCCGCAGACTCGGCTCAGGCTTCCCAGGCGTTCTCACCATGGTGGGGCACCTGCTTTGCTTCCTTCAGCAGCCGGGTCTTCCTCAGGCCGAGCCACCGGCAGGTACCATGCCCATCCCCCACTCTTCTGCACCTCTGATGACGTCGGGGGAACCCTCAAGACCAGCTGTGGGCTAGGCGGTTAAACCGTGTCCTTTAGGTGTCAGTCCCGACCTGTGTGAAAACCACAACTCCCAGAGTGCCTCGGACCAGGAGGCCAGGCCATGGATAGGATGGCTCTACAGAGTGGGACCTGCAGTGGGGAAACTAGTCTCCAGCATCTTCACCGGATGTGCTTAATTACCGAATCCCTACTTTTGCACCTTCCCACCCACTATCTTCTCCAGGCCCCGGAGGCCGGATCCGAAGGCGCGCCTGCTCCTGGGGCATTTTGGGAGTTGTAGTCCAGCTGCCAGGTTGCGACTAACTACCTTTCCCAGGATGCCCCGCGGTCAGGCAATAGCAACATTCTCTTCTAAGAGTTTCTGCCTTGAGTCCTCCTTTCCCTGATCTCCTTCTTGCCATGGACTCCTTTCGGCCCGTGGCTACAGTAGCTGTTGAAGCGGCAGGGCTGAGAGCTGGCCGCGCCGCCCCAAAGGCACTTCCGCTGGCGGGTCACTTCCGGGTGGGTGGCCGGCGGGGGGAGGGGGGAGGGCGGTCTCGGCGCCGCACTCGGGGAATCAGCTGGCGGGCGGGCGCCTAAGCGGCCAGGGCTCTGCGACAGCGCCGCCTCCTCCGCGTCGCAGGCCCGCGGCCGTGGTCATGTCGCGGGGCTGGTAGCTGGGCTCGCTGCCGAGCCGCCACGAGTGGGTGTCCGGGGCCGGGGGCGAGGGTCCGGGCTGGGGGCTCGTGCGTTTCCTGGGGAAAATGCGCGCAGCGGCTCCTCGGGATGACGGCCTTTGCTGCCCCTAGGACCCGGCAGTTGGGCTCCGGAGTGCGTTACTGATTCATCCTCTCTGCCTCTGTCACCGCAGGTTTGAACTTACCGATCGCTCTCGGAGGAGGAGGGCACCCGCCGCGCGATTGACAGTATATTCCTGCAGGCGCCGTCCCTGAGCCCCCACCCCACGGCCGGATCCGGGTGGCTCCGCTGCGGGCCGAAACCGGAGAAGAAATCCTTAGATCTCTTTTCTTTTTTAAAAAGAATCTAGAAACCGTCGGCATTTTGCCTTGCTGTTTCCTATTTGCAAGATGAAGAAGTTTTTCGACTCTCGGCGGGAGCAAAGCGGCTCTGGCCTGGGCTCTGGCTCCAGCGGAGGAGGGGGCAGTAGCTCGGGCCTGGGCAGTGGCTACATCGGAAGGGTCTTCGGCATCGGGAGGCAGCAGGTCACCGTGGACGAGGTGCTGGCGGAAGGTGAGGGGAAGCCAGTGCGCCGTGAAGTCATTTCGTGTGCTGATGTGGCAGGACTCCGGGTTCTAGTTGTATGAATGAATTTTGACCAACTGACCCTCCCTTCCCCTTGCACTTATCCGTTTAGTCATTGTCCTTGAGAGATTTAAAACTGAGATTGGGAAGTGACCGGGCTTGGAGTTGGGGTGAGTATTGCCCAAAATGTTTACCTCGGCAGCCTTTTCTTTAAGGGGGAAAAAAGCGTTGAGAAGCCGCTCTCCTGTCCTCACCGAATTATGCAGGTCAGGTGAGAAAATGTGTGAAGTCTAAATGACATCAAATACAGGGTGGTGGGCTAGCCGTCATCCTGAAACTTGAAATACTGATGGGAAGCCTGAAGGGGTAGGGGGTGGGGGTGATCTTCAAGAAGAAAAGGAGGGGCTTTCTTCTACCCAACTTTCCATGAGGAGGTACTGAAAGGATTTTTCTGGGAATGGGATTTTTTTTTTTTTTTTTGGATTTGACTAGATTTGTTTCCTGACCCAACTGTAATCAGTTCTCCAGGATGTAGCTAAAGATAACAGAAATCATGAGAAGTGAATGCAACTATTTTGAACTCGGTGGCCTCTGCCCTTCCTCCTGTTTTGGTTTTTATTAAGAGTGTCTCTTGTTTAGTTTTCTGTCTATTGGAGGGAATGCTGTGTATATTCTCCTGGTATATGTTCATTTGTGTATTTGTACTCATGTAGATACAGATTTTTAATGCCTCAGGCTTTCTGGAAATCTTTGAGTGTTCCTCTGGAAATCTTTTGAGTGTTCCTTTAGGTAACCTTAACCTCGACCTTCATAATTATGCCAGACAGATCGAAGCTCATCGCCTGCTTAGTGTGCTTTTATTTTTAATAAAAACAGCAGTTTCCTTAGCATGAAGCAGTTCAAACTAATTGGATAGGTTCAACCTGCTATATGTTGTGTTGCAGACTGCCAGGGGCCTGGAACCTGGGAGGCCTCAGTGAAGGCAACATGGTGGTAAGGAACAGTTTTCTTAGCTAGAGAAGAATGAAAGCTGTGAGGCTCCTTTGAAAAGGAGGCTCTTGCAAGCTAAGGTTGGAGTAAGGATCCCTACTTGGGCCTAGGAAATGTCTCTGTCATGGTGAGTGTTGCAGGGTGGTGGGTAGGTGGAAAGAGTGAGAAGCTGGGTTTGATTCTTCTTAGTTTGTGAAAGCATTGGATTCAACAAGGCCCAATTTCTGGGGATAGGGCTGAAGCCTGTACTTGAAAAGCGCTATTTTAAGGAGATGTCTGATAAGATCATTGTCAAATCATTGCGTTTTTCATTTTTAGTACTGTTCCAGCTGAACTTAATCTAGACCTGAGCCAGTATCCTTTCTGGACCCTTCTTTGAGGGCCTTGGTGCAGGGTGGGAGATGCGTCCGTGTCAGCTGCCAGATCAGCACCATGGAATCTGAGCTGACAATTTCGTCCCTGTGCCAAAATCCTTGACTGCAGTGGGTGGAGTAAGAGTGCAATCGGGAGAGTGAGGGGTCCCGTCTTTCCTTCCTGTCTGAGGAGTGGCCTTTGGGGCCTCAGCCCTGGAGCTTTTTTTTTTTTTTTTTTTTTTTTTTTTCAGCTGGATGTTTTCTCATGGATAGAGTTGCTCTAAGTGGTGCTTGTTCTTTGAGTCTTTGAAGAGTGATGGGGAAGAGAAAATGCAAAATTGGTCTTTGTTTTCTGGACTGCCCTAGAATTCATCTTGAGAACTACCTGCCACGCATTGTATTTTAAAGTGGAACTTAGGGCTTGCTGCTCTGCATTCATTCAAGCAACCGCAATGGAGTGCTTATGATGTTGTAGGCCCTGTGCTAGGCTCTGGAGACCTGACGCTGAACTGATGCTAGAGTTCTGGAGCTGCCTTAAGAGATGGAAAATGGGCAGTTATAGTAATAGGATGATTAGTGCTATCATGAAGGTAAACAGGGGTATAGCAGCCGCAGATTTTGTTCTTGGGGCCCCCCAATGATAGGGAGCTGAGAACTGTTTTCTTAAGGAAAAGACTAGAGGATGAGTGGGCGTCAGTATGCAGAACCTACTAAGGTTAAAGACACTAACTTTACTAAGTTTACTTTAGAGTGTGATCCTTGCCGCCTTTATTTTAATTAGCCTGTAATTTCTTTGAGGTGCTATGGATCATGCTGGCTTTGATCAGTGCACTACCCCTGATCTATAGCTGCAGCTCTGATGTCTGCCTTTAAGGAGCTGCCTGTGAATTTAGGAAGACAAGACATACATTTGTTTATACAGTAGTGTGGTTATTGACATTCATTGTCGAGCTAAACAGATTTAGGTTCAAATTCTGGGTCTGATTTTTACAAATAATATTATCGATGTGTGTGTTTGCATGTGTGCGCACATGCATGTGTGGTCAGAGGACTACTTTGTGGAGTCAGGTCTCTCCTTTCACCTTTACACGGGTTCTAGGGATTGAATTCAGGTCACCAGGCTTGCGTGACAAGTGCCTTTACCTGCTGAGCCATCGCGCTAGCCCTCTGGATGTGTTCTTTACCAGCTGTGCAATTTGGGACAAGATATTTCATCTAAGAATGCTAGATCTTGTTAGATAGGAAGATCTCATGAGTCTCTATAGATCTAGGGTATTAGAGCTTTAACAACTTCTGGAAACATTCTGATGCAAGCTAAAGTTTGAGAACCACTACCCTGTGGATGGTCTTGAGGATTTAGTAAGATAGTATGAATAAATAAGTTAATACTTAAGCTGGGTGTGGTGGCACATACAGGTGGATCTTGAGGCCAGCGTGGTCTACATAGTGACTGGGCCAGCTGGTGCTACAGGGAGACACTGTCTCAAAAAGACAAAAAAAAGGTGGGGAGGGCTGGAGAGATGGCTCACCAGTTAAGAGCACTGACTGCTCCTGCAGAGGATTTGGGCTCTATTCCCAGCACCCACACGGGGGCTATGAACCATCCTTAACTCCAGTTCCAGGGGAATTTGAAGCCCTCTTCTGACCTCCGCGGTATTGCGGTATTGCACAACACAGGTACACTCACATACATGCAGGCAATACACTCATACACATAAAATAAAAATAATAAATAAAATATTTAAAAAATAAAAAAATTTAATGCTTTTCAGGTATTCAATAAATGTAGCTATCGTTTACCAGTATCGGTGTATTTATAGTTAAAGGTGAGAGGGGAGCAAGGTGAAGGCAAGTCGACTAGAGCAATCTGAAGCACTCCCCGCCCACCACCGTGGCATTTCAGCTAAGCTAGATGTTCGTTGCAATGTTTCTTGGGTAGTAGCACCCTTTCCCTGGCCCCTCTGAGTCTTCAGGTGCCGGCCTGTCTACCAGTCCCAGCCAGAGTTGCCAAAGGACAGTGAGAGCTATGTACCAAACACCCCAGGCAAGGGCCAGACAATTTAGGGTGGTGACATGGGAGGTTTCAAACACAGGTCTAACAACCACCACATCCTGTGTGCAGCATTTCCTCTTCCCTAATGTGTATTGGTCTGTGCTTCATAGTAAGGGGTTGCCAGAACCCCAAGAATCTGGTGCTAGATGAGACAGGAGAATGTTGTGCTGTCATCTCCATCAGCAGCAGCCTTGCTGGACTGGTCCTCTAACTAGTCCAAGAGGAACTTGGTTGTCTGGGTGAAGGTGAGCTTCTTAGTCATGAGTTAGAGGAATGTGACTGTCTCTAGGCTGGGTGCTTTCTGAGTGAGAATGCCAATATTAGATGCTAAACCATGTCTGAGTTAGTTAATAGGCATGTTCATATCATGGGAAGATTTGATTTAAGCTTCCAGAAAGAGCTTATTGGGAAAATTAGAGCAATCTTTAAAGGAGGACTGACAAGTACTTTTGTCATACGTTTTAGTTCTATAAGGCCTTGTATCTAAGCTTTAGTAAGTAAATACTGAATTCTTGCTGTGTCCAAGGTAGCATTCCAGAGCTGTATCATCTACAGAAGGTGAACCAGCACAGAAAGAATCCAGGTCTGGGGCTTGTGAGAATGGAGACTGTATAAAAAAGCTTTTATAGTCTCTTATTTGTAGAGCAAGGTAATGAGACTTAAAACATCTGTCTTTCTTACCCCTACCATCCATGTATGGCATACAGTTCAAAATGTTTTGGTGGATAGGTATGGTGTAAGCCTTCAGTTGCAGAACTTGGGAGGCAGAGGCAGGTGGATCTCTATGAGATACAGGCCAGTCTGGTCTACATAGAGTTCCAAGTCAGCTGTGGCTACAGGGAGACTCTGTCCAAAAAAACCAAACTAAAACCAACCAACCAACCTAACATGTTTTGGTGGTATATAATAAGCAGTAATCAGGACATATGTACATTTCATTTGATGAGCCTTTTAGTAGTACTTTTCTGTGGCAGGCACTGCATTAGGTTCCAGAAAAAAATTGGATGGACCATAGACTCTGATCAAGAAGTAACAAGTTTTAGTGTGAGCCTTATATGGCAGACAGTGACTGATGTTCAGAGATGATAGAGAAAGAGGTAGTTTGAACTGGAATGGCAGTTACCCAGCAGATGCTCCAGCTGTGTTACACAAAGCCTTACAGCCATGGGGAGTGGCATGTGCAAAAGTGTGGAGTGAAATAGAATGATGACTAGTGTGATGTTACTGTTTTGGTACAAGTTTCCTCTCTAGGCTCAAGGAAAGAAAGATTATGGATATCTGTGTTTGGGATCGGGTAGGATGAAATTCTTGCTACCTAATATACATTTGGCGTGTTTGTTGCTGTTGTGCTAAGGTCTGCAGAAGTGTTGTAGAGTGTCATAAAAGAGAAGAAACTGAAAGCAGGCAGATGTGTATGTGCATATGGGGCCAAGATTATCAGTGTGGCAGAGAAACATGAACAGAGAGGAAGTGAAGGTATTTGACTACAGCAGGTAAGAAGTGGGGCACCCTTGAGCAGAGAGATAAGGGATACATACCTGAGGCCCTCTCAACGCATATACTTTGATGACAGTTATAGCATTGTTAGATAC